AAAGCGGCTTTTATATACCGAAAACTTAAAATACATACATAATTTAATAACATATATGTAAACAATAGCAATCTTTTAAGGATATTGAAGAAACTTTTAGAGATATTGATGAGTTGGTAGATGTCGAAGTTGATGTATCACTATCTGATTTTAACAAGGGCGCTAATAATGTCTGTTCGGATTCACCAGTTTTCGCTATTCGACGTGTAGCTTTTGGACGATTTTCGCGTCGCGTTGATCGTCGTGGTAAAGTAGGTGCTTTTTTACTAGAACTCTTTGTTAAACTTGGAGCTCTTTGTAATGAAGTATCCGAAAATAATTCCGTCAGTGAATTATTTACAAGATCAACTTGGTGAGTAAATTTTTCATGTAATCTCGGATATGCATCTATTAATTTTTTCATCATTTCCTTATTTCTATCTCGATTACATTTTCGTACCAACCATTTCCAACAAGCTTCGATTCCTTCGTGAAATCCAATTTCCCAGCAAACAGACAAACATCCGACTCCTTTTGCTAGATTATTTGCTAATTCTGAGTCCCATTTTTTTGTATACATTAATTTTAAAGTACAATAAAAATTAACCATATCTTCCTCGTTAACTCGATATGGCAATTTAACAATGATCTGTTTTTCTTTTCTCATGTTAGATTTTGGTAACGATGAGATGTTTGACGACGTTTGTGAAAGTTGTTCTTTAAAGAATTGTGATTGAAACAAGACTATAGAATGCAATCGAAGCTCCGAAGGTATTCCTGCACGAACGGCCAAACCTTCTCGATCTTCGAACGATAACCTAACATCACTATACATTTTCCCATTGTCCCAAAGTAACTCTCCTACATTTGGATAATTGCTAATAGTAGTCTTTTGACTCTGTGAATGTTTTCGTTTAATACTCCCCGTTTTTCTAGGTGACATGGGACTTAAAGTATTGGTATAAGCGGAAAATGTTGTTGAATTTGAAACTTTAACATTATCAGCTTCCGGTTTAGTTGGAAATTCCATGTCGATATCGGATATCATGTTTAGCCTATGACTTTCTTCCCTTGTAACTGATAACTTGTAAGGTATCTTTTTTTAATATCCTTGTACAAAACTATATATCCTTCAATATATTATTTACTAGTTGTTTTTCGTAATTATTTGATAGATAACGGTTTTTTATGACTTTTGAGTCCTTTTTTTCAAAAAAAAACTCTTTCTCTTAACTCTATACAACTCATAAGTTTTTTTTTTGAAAAATAAAAGACAACCTAAAAAGATTGCTATTGTTTACATATATGTTATTAAATTATGTATGTATTTTAAGTTTTCGGTATATAAAAGCCGCTTT